AAAAAAAACAACACCAGCCTCCCCAGAATAAAACAAAATTGAAAAAATAAAAACTGATAACAAAGTGTGTAAAAAAAGAAGAAGAAATATTGAGGGAATTTCCACAGCCCTTCTACAGCTGTTTTAATGTGTCTGTGTGCGTCTATTAGCCCCTTAAAACAGGAACTGAGGCGGAACTTGGTGATGTTAATAAATTACTGAACACAGCAAGTCTTAACTACATTTCCCACTTGACCACTACAACAGTCCAAGGCCCAAGCCCTGAATGTCTGAGCACACAAGACAAAAGCATTGAAGTTATTTATTCACAGGCAACATCTCTGCTCCCACTGCTATCAGGAGTATCAGAAAGTGTATGGAGGCCTGGAATCGCAAGAAAGCTCAGGTCAATTCAGTGCTGTTTCCAACTGCCAGGCCCACAGTTTAAAACGTTTTACATGGGCAACTAATTTTCTCTGAATTTGTAGCATTGGATGGGATGGAGTTACACTACGAAAATCTGCTTTTGTTTCAGGTAATCTTTTCTTTTTCCAGAACATTTAAGAATTAGCCTAATCTTGCTAGCTCAAACACACACACGTGCACTATTAAAGCAAAGGTGAGGCTCCATCTGATTTCTCCAGACAAACCAGCCCTGGCAGAAATACACTGACTTACAGACGAATCAGTTTTCATGTTCTTTTTAATCACCCAAGATTGAGACCAAAGACCCAGAAGCTCGCTTTTCAGTGACTATTCACGCCTGTAGGGTTGATCGCTTTCCCTCTCATCATATAACTGGTAACCATTAACTCCGAGGCAGATGGCACAACCTTTGCACTGAGCTTCATCGCAGGCAAGGACTCACTTCCTCATTGTGCAATGAAAGACAAATGGTCTGAGCGCAACACACAGCAGCAGCGATGGAGAAGTGTTCATATGAAATACCCTGAACAGCAAAAAAGGAATTTCCCAGTGTGCTGTTCTGACTAAGTGCTGGGTGGTAGTCATTGTACTTTTTTTTGTTTCCCTCATCTTATTTGAGACATAAGAACCATGAATTAGCACTGGACTTTCCAAGCAGGCGTGGCTTTGGCGCTGTTGGAATGGCTGTTTTTTTAAAGCAAATTCTCATGAGCCAATAAAGAGTTTTTTTTCTCTAAAAAGGGGAAGTTTCAGTTCTTACCGAACACCTACTGCCTTCCTCATTCTGTTCCGTTCCCCTGTCTGGACCAAGAGCAGACCGGCTGAGGCGAGTCAGAGCAAGCGGAATTTTTAACTGCTCAGAGAGCAGGGCACAGACACCTGTTGCCAGCACAGGCAGGCGGCAGAACGAGAGGAAAATACCCTACAATCTGACATAGTACCGAGGCTTGGCTGTGGTGGCCCACCCAGTGCGAGTTCAAAGGGACTTGCAGAAACCCTGACTGACAGGCGGAGAGACAAAGCAAAATAAAAAAAACACCGTTTGACGCAGAAAATTTTGAAGCGGGCAGCAAATTCACCCCTGACTCGTAGTTCCTCAAATATCACACCATTATCAAACTTTCTCACCAATAAAATGGAAAATAATTCATTTTTAGTATTTTCAAAAGTTAAGACATTTCCATTAAATAATTCTATGACTCTTTTAGTGTTTTGACCGGCAGTCTCCTGGGACACAGTGATGGGCTGTGCATACTGTATTTTTTATCTGCTACCACTGAAAAGGAAGGCAAACCCAGTCCACACATCTTTAA